TCTACAGTGCCGTATACTGACGAAAATCCCACTTTTCATGCAGTGACACACACTGGATTCCTAACATGAATCAGTTTTTGTTTAGGTCTCCCCATTAATCACACACCTTGCCAAAAAATCCCTCTGTTTTATATGGAGTGATTTTTGTTCTATTATGCCTGCAAACAAATAGAAAGGTTTATGAGCTGAAATTTGGAAAAAGGTTTTCCTTAAAAAAGGTCTTTAGAGGAACTTTGACTGGCACTGAACCTGATTAACAGTCTGAGAGAAATCAATTTGCAAAAATGGGTCCAAATGTATGGAGACTGCTTGTGGGGTCCCCCAGGAATCAGGATTGGGTTCTAGATTATTCAATATCTGCATAAATTGCATATTTTAAGTCTGTAAATGTTCAAAATCTGCTGATGACACTGTTATATTCTTGCAATGAAGTAATTACTACTATAAATCAGGAATTAAGTAAATTAAAACAAAATGGATTAATAGAAATATGTTATCGCTATTTGTAGAGCAAACTAAGTTTAATACAATTCAAAAATAATTCAACATACCAAAAGTAAATGAAATATTGCAGGTTTTCAATTAAATGTTATATATAAAGTAGTATATGCTGTAGGCAGGATGAATCTTCTATAGTGTTCTGTCTTACAACCAAGCAGAGTTACTCCAAAATACTGAACAGCTACCTTAAGCAATGCAATTCTAAAATGTCAAAAAATAGATAAATGTCTGTGTGTATATATGCTATATACTTCTGTTTCTGTTTACTAGTTTTATATTGTCATGTTTTTTTCAGATTGGTCTTAATATATTGGATTCTTTTTAAATTGCATTTCTCTTTTTCTGTTACTTTCCTCTTTAGACTGTTTTTTTTTAAATATATATATATATATTTTATTTGCTGCCCTCATAAACCTCCAAAATCAAGAAGTGTCCCTGAATCATCTGTGAGTAGCACAGCAGGGGCCTTGTAATGTTATTGCTCTTACATTAAGTCTGTCTGTCTTACCATGAGAACTACCGTAGTAGAGTACTCAAAATAACTTGCAGTTGGGGTATTCAGCCAGATACAGAAGAAAGATCTCTCTATCATCTCATAAACACTTCAATTACACCACAAGGACTTAGAATATGATATTTCAAGCTAGAGACTATTTATGGTTGACTGAACAAAGGGAGGACTTACGAGCTGATTGGGAGCAGGTGTGAACAGAGGCTGCTAGGAAAAGAGCTAAGGAAAAGGAAAACAACACAAGAGGGCAGCAGAGGGCAACAAAGAAAAGCCTAAGAACTCAAATACACCCAAAAACACAACTAAATAGGAATTAAACTAATAAAACTAGAAAACAAAGATAAACATGAATCAACATGAACCTAAAAACTCAAAGAAAACTTAACAGAACTAAGAACATAACACTAGGTATCCTTGACACTTCCTTATTGTCATTGTCCAGCTAATGCCATAGTTTGCAGAGAGATGTACGAAGGATTAACGTGATCTCAGGTTATTACTGATGACGTTTTACATGTGACAGTCTGAACCAACTGAAACAAACAGTAGTTGACCAAAATAAGAGTTTAAGGGTGTGCACGCTAACGCAATCAGATTATTGCTTTTGTTTCCTAATTTGTATTTTTATCAAAAGCTTTTTTTGTTTTTTTCTGTTGTGTTGTGTGAAGTTGTGGAGAAACTGATGAGGCATTTCTTGAAAGAAAAAGTTTCAAATTTATTTTACGTCGGAGAGATAGAGCTCTGACTGGGGCAAGACCAGCACACACATTTATACTGTACAAATCTCAACACACACTCTCCCTTGGGACCATCCATCCCCTGCATAAAGAACTTTCTCACACACAAACATTTGGAGGAAAACAACTTCAGTTCATCAAGGACATTCCCTGTTAGGTTAATACATCTTTCACTGGCCAGATAAACATCTCACAACAGCTGTCTTCTGTTTGCGGTATGAGGGAGCCTTAATCACCTTAGAGGGAAGGTTATCTATATTTCACCCTTGTCTAGAGTATAGAGGCAACTGCTTTCTGTCCCCCCTACCTTAAACATTACAGCATAGAGGCTGGTAAAATATTTCTCTAAACTCACTCCTATTAGGCCAAGAAAAGGCACAATCTAAATATTTCAACTCACAAATAGACTGAGGAAAAATGTGCTTTCACAGTTGTACAGGAAATACATTTCCCTCCAAATGTATTAAAGGTTTTTAAACTATTTATCATGATCTAACTTTGTATATTTACTACTGGCTGGTATTTTAGCACGGCTGAGTAGACTCAGTAACAACATTGGGTTAAACAAGATGAGAAGGCCAACAATGAAAAAGTAGAGCAGAATAAGTCAGGGCAGGGCAGCAATACAATACACAGCATGGCTAAATCAATAAACATGTTAAAATGAGACAAGATCTAACAGGACGGGTCAAGACAAATAAAACAAAATTCAATCAGACACAACATGGCCAGATGGTTCAACATAAGCAGATAAAAGACAAATGTAAAAGAATTAATGAGACAAGACACAACAGACAAAAGAAGCAGATGTAAACGACGAGATAAAACAGCCGAAGATGGGAGGATGTAACCAGACATTGAAGCACTATAAGATCATACTGCATGAGTTTAATAAAAGGAAACTAAGCTAGAAGAAAAGTGCAACAGAAAAAGGAAAGGAGAGCATCAGATCAAATGTAAAGTGACAAGGCAAAAAGAACAATAACAGATCGACATGAAACAAACCAAAGATCTGAGAAAATCAAATCCAGTGAAGTCATTGTGCCTGGATGAAAAAAATCCTCAAAGGAAGTATTAAACTACACACACACATCTGCATTCATGGTTATATTTGCCTCTTGGTGTGCTGCTGTTTTTGAGGGGAGCTCAGTCCAGGTTATTCTGTCAGGTCGCTCAAAGCGGCAGGGATATATAAAAATGTAAAAACTCTCTGTGGCTGAGCTGCATTGCTCTCTATTGACTTTGCAGGGCTAAGGGCTCAAAATATGGGGTGCTAATGTTCCCTTGCTCTGAGATGGGGGATACAGATTGTAGATTAATTAATTAATCTGAAGTTAAATTATCTTCTCAACTAACTTACTATTAATTGACAGGTGGCCATTTCCTTAAAAGCCTGAGCTTTCTCTTTTATCAAAAGGAGTCTTTCAACAATAATATTTTTTAACAATATGCTGAATTAAAATTTTCTGAATGTGGCTCAAGAGTTAGCGGCAAAAATCACAGACAATGTGTGAATCTACTGAGAATAGATTTCACTCTATCCTCTTCTCAGCAGTAGGTGACTTGGAGGTTAATCAGTTATTAAGTGTAATAACAAATTATCCACTAACTGTGTTAGTGGATAAAAAAATTTCGAAAAAACTCTTTAACAAAAGACTAGAAGACCTGAATCAAACAGTCAGTATGGATTCAGAGCAAACATTACAACCTCCCCTGCAATGATGGAAGCGACAAAGGAAATAAACACCTGATCAAGGAAAATATGAAGCTGATGTGTTTATAGATTTTTAAAAAAGCATTAGAGACAATAAACCACTCAATACTCATTAACAAGCTGCCGCAGTACATTAATAGGGGAGATGCACTGGACCTGATTAACAGTCTGACAGAAAAAAGTTTGTAAAAAATGGGTCAAAATGTATGGAGATTGCTTGTGGGGTTCCCCAGGGATCAGTATTGGCCCCCAGATTATTCAATATATACATAAATTATATATTTCAAGTCTCAAAATGATCAAAATTGATCCAATTTGCCGATGACACTGTTATATTCTGGAAACGATTAAAATGAAGTAATTACTACTGTAAATTATAAAATATGTATATTTTAAAAATGTTTGAATTGAAATAAATTGTCACTAATTGTAGAGAAAACTAAGTTAATGATACTTGGTAGCTGGAACAATATACATAATGCATATATAAAATTGAACAAGTACTTGAAAATAATTGAATTAATCAAGTAATTAATAATATAAAGGCAATTAAAGAACTGGGGGTGATGCTGTTAGATTAAAACTCACTTTAAATTGTGTTGATCATTAGTTCTGCTGTATCTCACAGACTGCATAGAGATTTTCGGAAACAGTTACAAAAATACCTTAAGCTCATCAGTCTTGCAGAACAGGGTGGTCTGTGCCATACACAAAGCTGGGTATCTGAATCACACAAATTCTATGTTTTTAATAGTCGACATTACTTTAACTACAGGACCTGGTTCATTATCACAGATCATGTGTGAAGCTAGTCTAGAATTACTACCGCTCAATATCCACAATCCTTTCAGCCATAAAAATGGAGGCTGTCATTTATGAGGGGCCACAAAAAGGAGAATTCCCTCAGTGAAAACCACTAGGAAGAGTTTTTGTGTGTCTGTATGTGGAGTTAATCAGTGTTTATTGCTATGGATATTGTTGATAGATAATTGTAGATTATATACTGATAATTATATATAGAGTGTTTCTTTAGTTTTGTGCACCAAAAGAGAAGGGATTAAATTAGCATCGTCTTCTTCCTACTCCTATTTTTTCCCTTTGTTTCTACATTGTTTTGTTTTTAACTATTATCTTATGTTCAAATAAAGCTTACCTCCTCAATTCAAGAACAAATGCCCTTATTTTTAGAAAAAAAATGAATATTTAGATTTCCAGTTTTTTCCTGTGTGAACAGCGGGATCACAACACTGCAATTCCCTTTAAGTGGATTTTTTAATAAATCAATGGATTTTTTTTTTTTTTTTTTTTTATCAAAGTAACCCTAACTGACAGTTAATTGTAAATCAACTATTTGCTCACCTCCCAAGGTGGTACTTTGTGTCTGGTGACCGGGGATGTCTGTAATCTTCCTGAGCTCTGTCCATCTCACCTTTGCTGTTCTTGGATGCAAAGCACTGCAGGATTTTTCTGCTCTCACCTCCCTAAAAACTCTCTAAAATAAAATGCTAGTAGATATCCACTCAATAGATACTTGCTTCTACACACACTTTAAACACAAAATGAAAAAACAAAACAGGGAAGGTCATAGGAATTGTGGGCAAGAGCAGAATAAAGTTCAGAGCAATAAAAGATGAAGGGCCAGGCTAAGTGCAAAAAACAACAACATTTGTAATAATAAAGGGGGAATGTCAGACAGTAATGCAGACTAGTAAAACATAATAAGATGAAATAAAGTTGTGTACAGGAGAACAAGAAAGCTCTGACAATACTGGAAAAGGCAAAGTTATATTATGAAGGAAAATGGTCTGAGATGATCTAAGCTCTACTTTTGCTTTCAGGGTTTAAAACCAATGGATTCTAATGGACTCGCAGATCCATATGTTAAGCTACATTTGCTACCTGGAGCCAGTAAGGTATTTATGTGTTCTTTTAAAATATTCCATCAAATTTAGAAGTTAGACATTTATTTTACTGACCTTTTGGTTTTATAATCTGTCCTTAGATTTAGCGCTTTTTTTCAGCGATTGTGTTTTCTTTTCTGTTCTAAGTCCAACAAGCTTCGTACCAAGACTCTTAAAAACACCCTGAATCCTGTTTGGAACGAGACACTGATCTACCACGGCATCACAGATGAGGAAATGCAACGCAAAACACTCAGGTACCATCAATCGACCTTTCTAACTGAGGAATCCACTTTCAATTCAAATGATTTTTAGACCTTATCATCATCATTGTCCACCCAGGCTTTCAGTGAGCGATGAGGACAAGTTTGGACATAATGAATTCATCGGAGAGACACGGGTTGCCCTAAAGAAACTGAAGTTCGACCAAAAGAAGAGTTTTAACGTTTGTTTGGAGAGAGTGATCCCGGTAAGCCTGAGGGTAACAGTATGTTAAAAGTTAGACCAACATCTCACCCAAATTACTGTAAAAATATAACTACAAACCCGATTCTTCTTAATCCCTCCTCTGTCCAAATCACTTTGTTTTTATGATATATTAATGATAAAACATGATAATAATCATGTTTGATCGTCTAATTACATTTATATTGGTAGATAATGTAAGTAAAGCTCCAAAACAGGCTTAAATAGGAGTTAATAGGAGTTTCAGCACCTATTCAGGAGTCGTGTCAGTTCTGTCGCCTTGCTGTTGGTGGGGTTCAGTTAGAGGTTTTGATGACGTGAGTTTAGATGAAGAGCAGGAAGTAAAGTTGTCAATGGAGGCAAAGGTTGCAGAAAGCTACCATAGGGATTTAAATCCAGTTTTAAGATAGATATACAATATGTTAGATGCGACATGTTTCTGAGAGAAATTATTACGTTTTTGACAGAACCTTTGGATTTTCATAGCTGCTGTTCTTTCTTCTTTCCATGTGCTTTGTGGCGTCATGTGAAAGCGAACTGCAGAGCAACCTGTAGTTGATGTTAAGCACCCAGAGGCCCATCATGCCAAGTCAGATGCAAATCTGATTCCTTCCACCCTTCTTCAAACCATCTGTGGCCTCTGTCCAAAATCTTAGCAGTGAGATCCAAGTGTACAGCTGAATGTTGCCCAGAGCTGCTGGCCCTTCTGAGCTGAGCAACATGTTTGTGTAAATGCTGTTAGGTTTGTCTGGTGTTGGAGTTAAAGTAGGCCATGCTGGACTGAATAAGCAATGGCTCCCAATCGCTCTTTTCTCTTCAGGATAAACCAGGTTTATTCTGATATTGTTGTCGGGTTTCAAATTCACTTGTATTTATGTTCAGAGAAAATCCTCCTGTGTTTCTCAGAAACTCCTGACTCATACAATTGTCTTGGCAATTCTGCTTTATCTATTAAAGCAGTTCTAAAGAGCTTTCTTTTTTGCTTGATTTTGGCTCCCCCCAAGGGAACAAAACCTATATTGTTTTGCCTGAAGGAAGACAGCATTTCCCATGAGGAGCATCGTATAGCGTGGTAAAATCCAGATCTCCTGGTCGCCTGCAGTTGGACTGAACTACATTTCTGTTTCAAGTGGCTATGTGAAACATTTATAGCGATGAGGTCATGAATCTAGTTGTGGTGAAACAACGTCATATGATGATGTTGAAAATAAGAAGCGTTTAACTTGGTATTGTTAGACACACACCCACACACACTTCACCTGACTCATGAGACTGATATGCTGGCAAGTTAAGAGCCTTAAAACAGATAAATATAATGCTATGTTCGATATTTTCACAGTAAACACTCATAGATCCCAGCTTTGCCTGAATATCAACCATGTACAATTTGCACAAATATTAGGTATTTCTTGGGGAAACTTAATGGTATCTACTTCCATCCCAATAACGAATGAGGAAAGTGACGTACGCCGTAAAGCAGTCTGCGCATTTTGCAGGGTTACTGCCACCCTCCTCAAAGTTGCTTTGTGTCGGTGAAAGCAATACAGAGCCTCTCTGGCCATGACAGTGGTGTAATTCAACTAGGTGTGAGTCCACTTCTAATCACAAAAGCTCTGAAAATATTTTATAGAGGTTGAAAAGTTTCTCAGCATTTTTTTTTCTGACTTTTTAATTTTTGTCCAACTCAACAAATGCATAGTTTGGGTAAAGAAAGGCTTGGAGTAATTTCCTGACATGTTTGTGTTCTTTTTGTTTGAGGGGAAGTTGACAGACCTGACATCAAGATATTTGTGTTCTAATGGGCGATGTGAGTCAAAATGCAAGTATTGGTCCAGTGGGTGTGTTGAGTCACCTATTGGACCGCACACAGTAGTTTTTAGAATTAGTGGGTGAGCCGGCAGAGTTGACCGACTCCTGGATATCTGACATAATATTTTAGGCAAAACAGAGCAAGGGTCCAGTTGCCTCCTATTTATGCCTTCTATGTGGTTGCTCTGACCCTGATGCCTCAGAATTTGCACTTGCATTGTGTAAGTATTGGTTTCTACTATTGTCATATTACCAAAATTAAACATGCATAAATAATCTAATGATTTGTGTAAAAAAAAAAACAACAAACAATATAAAACTCGAAGCAAAACTGTCATGATGGGTTTCAGAAAAGCCCAATATGCAGAACACCACGGGGACAGATGAAAAGTTTAACAATGTTTATTGATCGCAAGCACATGGAATAAACACAGGAACTGGTTCAGGCCTGGAAGCAGGTTCACTGGAGTCTGTGAGGATGACAGTTCAGTTAGCTTAGGAACTGAAGATCTTGGGTTAGTGATTTTCTGAAGGATACCTTGATTAATCCGGGTTTCACTTTGAGAGAGGAACTGTTGGGTCCAGAGACTGTTTTATTCAGCAGAGTCCAATAACCGCTTCAGTGTCTTACTTCTAGCTTGAGGGCAGACCTTGGTTTTTGGTTTCCAGCTCTTAGTCCAGAGCTGCATGGGAATCCAGAGAAGAGTCTTCAGGTTTGGCTCAGAGGGCAGGCTCGGCAGGTTAAGCTCATCCAGAGCTTACAAGAGAAAAGGATCCCTGAAAGCAGAGACAAGGAGGTATTAAAATCCAATCTAATCAGAGACAACCAAGATTCTCAGGTGATGCTAGGCTCAGGTGCTAACCAAACTGGATCAACACTGCGGCGTTGAGGCAAGGTCTGAAGGCAGGTTATATACAGGAGGATCCACTGATGACTAGATGCGCCTGAGGTGTGTTGGAGGCTCAGCTCAGGAGGATCCACGGCGCAGTCTGCTGGAGAAAGGTGGTACAGCTCCAGATCCCAACAAAAACCATATTTCATATGGATAAAAACAGTCTTTTTATCCTTCAATGGATGAATATGATAAGGCAGCTTCTGCATTATCCTCTTACTTGACAGTTGCGGAAAAAAAATAATTAATTAAGTTTATATAGCACCAATTTACAACACATGCCATCTTGTGGTACTTTACAGAGATAATTCAACCAGATCAATCACACCGATCATGCATGCAGTGACAGTGGAGAGGAAAACTCCCTTTTAACAGTATGAAACCTGCAGCAGAACCAGGCTCAGCATGAACGGCCCTCTGCTGAGGGCAACTGGTGTGAAACACAAACACATATAAAAGAAAAACGTACTGATATATTAATATTTTCTCTGTTAGTCTATGTTACTATGTAACAGTAAACTAGCTCCACAGGTGGCTCTGTCTAGGAAAGAAATCATTAAGCAGATTAACTCTGAGCCAGTTTTTATATCAAAGAGATGAAAGAGAGTGCGTAGAGTTAGTCACAGTAAAGCTGAGCCCATACTGTAGCTATGTCTACGAGAGAAACAGGGGTAAAGACTGAGAAACAGTCCCAGCTCTTTCATCTAGAATTGAAGTTGTTGATGTCAGCAGACAACTTAATGTTTCAATCCAGGATGTGATCACATCCTAACAGAACCAGGCCAGATAAAAGCACAATACAATAAACCAGCAGAATGAAACTGAAGAATGAAAAGTGGTCCCTATGTCCTCCAGCAGCTAAAGCCTTTAGCAGTATAACAGCTTAATTTCTCAGATAATAAAAATTATGTGTGTGAGGTGGGCAGCAGAAGCATTTATCAGCATTTATTGATACAAATTTATTTCATTATTGTAATTATTATGTTAATTGACTCTGTTCATTTACAGGTGAAGAAGGCTGTTGGAGGATCAATTCGTGGAATGGCACTTTACGAGGATGACGTAAGTCAAACACAATTATTTCTTTTCACCATTGTTTCACTGGTTAACCAACTCTGTTATAGCCAGAGTTAACTTACACACGAGTAGCATAATAACTCTGCCTGCTTGTATTAATTTTACTATTATTATTATTGCAGATTCTGCCAGGTATTCTGACATTCAGCACCCAAAGCAGTTGTCTAAAATGCCTATTAAAGCCCCACCACAGCTCTGAGTAGAGATTACCACTCAACAAAAACTAGTTTAATCATTATTTTATTTTCGTGCTTGTAAGTCAAAGTTCTGATAACATCTCCCCTTAGCTCTTATATATTACTTTGTTTAATCCCAGCATTTAGTTGGATAATGTCCAAGGACTGCTGTAACATAGTTTAACTGAACATGTATATTTGGAAATGGTGAAAACCTGCCACCTGCTGACGGAATATGATACCAGATGTACTAATATAGTGGTGGTAAAGTTGAAATAAAAAAAAAAAAAAAAAAAAAAAAAGTAGCGCATCTTTTACTTGAGGAAAAAGGGATTTTTTTTCCCTCCCCATATTTAATAATATGGATTTTATTAAGTCATTATGGCCTTATCTTGTTTTGCAACAAATTGGTTCAAGCCACACCTGTCAAGTTTTGGATGTGGCAATAATGGAAATTTTACGGCATCCCAGTCAATCTCCAGTATCCATATATTTAAAGACATGTGCACAAAAAATCCGAAATAAACAATTTAAACCAACTGAAAAATTACAATAAAAGTGATCAGAATTTCCATCGCAAGTCCTAAATACGACCTCTTTAAGGATTCATTGTCCAGTTAATTTGATAATTGCCAATTTGACAAAATAACCACAAAAAACTTTCTGCATGCTTCTGACATGATCCATTATGTTCTTAATACCCATCAGTACACAGCTGTAAAACAGTAACAAGCTGTTTTACTTGTAGTAGTAACTAACTTCCTTGAGTACAACCCGCAACACAGAAGCTCAGTTTCAATGTCTGTAGCATCTGTACAGTAATTTACTCGCACGCAAACACTGTTATATACAAAGACATGCAAACTGGACATTTTTTGGCAGCCCTGATACAGCTTAACTTCGATAAGCATCATACATAGTTATGGGAGGCTGGTTGAAAAGAGGGTTTAAATATGGTTGTTATCCAGCCAAAATGGGAGAATTGACAGCCAATTTTCAAGCTCATGTTAACTATCTGAATGGCGCTTCACTGTCGTACTGATGTGCAGTATCAAGTTTTATGTTTTTAATATTTAACTTTAACACAGTTTTTATAATTTATTTATGTTATTTTAGTTCAAGCAATTTAAGATAGGCTACTAAAACAAAGTGCTCTATGAATATTATTTATTATTATCATTATTATTTTCTATTATTTATTCAGTATGTCTTTGAACCTCATCCTTCTTTAGTAGCCACTCTCAGACTGCCAGTTAAACACACAATGTGCTTATTTTAATGAGTAAGTAATGTCAAAATTATTTTAAAGGTCTGTAATATTTGCACAACAATCACTGTAGATCACCTACAACACACCCACTTATTGCATATGCAAAACAATATTGCAGTTTAGTGCCCGTTATTTGGAATCCTTCAATAATTATGAAGTGGAATTTATAAAACAGTTTTATTATCGCCTTCAGAAGGACGCAAATCACTCAACTTTTGTACCATTAAATCTCAGAGGACTGTCAGAGAACAGAGCATAACAAAGAACAGAGCAGACAAGTCAGAGAAGTTTAAAGGGCAGGGAGTTCATCACATAATACCCCAGGCTTTATTCTACCACAGAGCTATGTTCTGAAACTGAACAGTGTGCCACAGCTTCAGACATGAAGCTTTGCCACAACTTCCATATCAATGTGTTTTTTCCACCATGTTTTTTTTTCTCCCACACTGTTTACATTTGCTGTACTTTATGGAATAGAAATGTTCATTTACTGTCTGAAAGCTGTACAAAACGAAGATTTGTTTTGTATACACTCTGTATATACAAAATGACAATTAAAGCTGTGTAAGACACACATTTCTCAAAGAAGCAGCGAATAGGCAACTCAAGTAGAGCAGCAGAGATCCAACATTTTCCAAGCCTCTTCTTTTCTATCCAATATTTTTTTAAAGATAATTTTTTATGCTCTAATGGATTTTAGTTTAGTCTAGTTTATTTTGTCATTTTTGAAAGTATGCAGACAGTTACAAGAGAGCGAAGAAACATTCAGCAAAGCTCAGCTCACCTGCAACAGCCTGTATAGGGCCATATTGCAGTGATATTCATAGGCAGAATCATAAGACTGTAGATGTTTATACAGTCACGAGGGGCAGCTTGCACTCACCCACAAGCTGAAATATCTACATGGATAAATTTTTTAGATGTCTCTGCCAAAATTACATTATTTCACTGCAGGAGCCTTGCAGATAGGTCAAGCATAAACACACCATCCCCATTGAAAAGCGGTTGGTGGCATCTGGCCAAAGTGCTGGTAAAGATTCTCAGTCATCCAGGTCATAGTCATTTCAAAAAAAGTACAAAAAAAAAAAAATCCACTGGACTTTGTTTCCAAGTTTGAAGACGTTTTGCTTCCATCAAGGAAGGTTTTTCAATTCAAAAAAAGCTTCCTGGATGGGAAGCGAAAAGTTTTCAAACATGGAAACAAAGCCCAGTGGATTGTTTTTTTTTTTTTTTTACTTTTTTGGAATCTTGCCAAAGGGGATGCTTTTTTTCTGGGGACACAGGGCAGCTGGTTGGAGTTGATCAAAACAAGAATTGAGCTAAATACAAAGAAACCTTGGAATTAAAATAAGGCCATTGAAGTGAAAGTAGCTTTAAAAGTATTAAAGGAATAGTACACCCAAAACATGATTAGCCTTCATTTTCTACTCACCCCCATG